ATGTGGTCTAAGTTATTTTCATGCAACCAAAAGGTTTGGTCCTGTAGAAATAAGAGATCTTACTAAAGGCGATGAAAAATGAAATGTTTGTTATTACGGTATGTATTATTTTTGGTGCATAGATTCAGTTCTTTGAGGTTGGAAGGCCTTGTTGCTATCACCCTAATCTTTAGCTCCCTCCATAGATAATATATCAGTTTCCTGTTTGGAATCTGGCCAGGCGACTTTAATAAGTATTTTTCTTATTTGGTAAAAAATAACTGACATGTTGGTTTGTAGTTTTTGTTTTTACCCACATGGAGAATCACATAGAGAACCAGTCAATGTTAATTTGTATTTATCAAAAGCAAACAAGAATCTGGAAGCAGAGAACTGCAGGGAGTCAGCTGTAGCTTTTTGCTTGGTCTGATGGGAGTAAAGCCGGGCATACGCTATATGATTTTTTTTTGCCCTTTTCAGGCCGATTTTTCAGTCGTCCGAGAATTCTTTGGATCGGGCTCAGTTTCAGCCTCCTTGTGCGTCTTGCGTCATGTAGTATACAGGGGCTAACAAGGGGCGATCAGCCTCTCACAACCACCTCCCAATAAGAAATCGTTAGTTTGGGGAAAATCAAATATGTTTGAAAGTCCGACCAGTCCCATCTCTCAGTGCAGTGTGAGCAGGCGATCGCATCAATGTGAGAACATACATCGTGAGCTGTGAACTTTTAAACCCTGCGGTTTCGTCGTACAGTTTGAGCTGTAGCTGCATTGAAAATACCACACAGTGTATGCTCGGCTTAAAACTACTGATCAGGAAGGAGCTGGCTGATGACAGCAGATGATTTGCTTATTTGAGAGATGAAGGGGAGGTAGCATGGATCTGCAGGGGTTCGACTCAGCAGGCTTTGCAGACTGAACCCCAGAGGTCCAGGAGAATGTAAGTGAGATCTTAGAGGGTTAGGACTTGTTAGAGACTTTGTGCTGGAGAGCAGGCAGGGAGGTGATAAAGACCGAGAGCTGCTGCACACGGGTAAGACCTTTTCCATTAAGATTGGAGAAAAACTGATGTTCAATGGTTGTGTGGAACAATAACAGAGTCCAGATTAAAGAGATTCACAAGAAGACAGATGTAATGTAAATCCCTTTATTGTTCCACCATGGTGAAATTTGTTCTCTGCATTTTAACCCATCCCCATGGGGAGCACCAGGCTGCCATTCTGTGGCACCCAGGTTGCATCAGAGGATAAGGGTTTTGCTCAGGAACCAAAAATGGAGGCTGTCGGGATCGAACCAGATACTTGTAACCTTCTCAGAGCACAAGCACTTTGCGCTAATCTACTAAGCTAGGGATGCTCAACTCCAGTCCTCACGAGCTACCATCCTGTAACTTTTAGATGCATCTCATCTCAAGCACACCTGAATCAAAAGCACTTATTTAGCTCAGCAGAGGCGTGGTAACACGCCACTCATTTGATTCAGGTGTGTTAAAAATGGTTGCATTAAAAAGTTGCAGGATAGTAGCCCTTAAGGACTGGACTGGAGCAGCCCTGCCCTAGGGCAACACTCCCCCCTTAAGATATTCTTTTGCTTAGGTCTTTGGAGGGAATACCATCAGGGGTATTCATTAGATGAAGAGAGATGATCATTTGCCCCCTTATATACACACAAGTCATCTTGATTGAGAAAAAGTTCTCAGGTTTACAGCAACACAGGTCAGCCCAGCCACCTGCAAAGATGTTCTCTGCAACAGGAAGCTCACTCACACCAGAAAAATAGTAAAACCACAAAGATCTTAACAGGATTAAAAAGAGTGCATTGTGCCTTACTCTATTAGGGGTTTGATCTAATTTTGATCTCCACTTTAGTTTTAATGAAATTCCAGCTGTAGCTGTTGAGGTTAAAAGCCCCAAAGGATGCATTTGCTTTGGGGAAGGTTTTTAATCCTTTCACTGTAAACAAATTTATTTACACCAATTAAAGATGCATTTAACCACTTTGAATTTATGGAACATTTAAAAAGAGCAAATAGGCGTCATTATTTTTGTGTATTTAAATCAGAAATGTTCAGTAAGCCAATAGGTGTTTTACGATGTGCTAATGAAGAACCGAAACAATTATTGGACATTTCCTTTGATCCGGAAAGAAGAACCGCAAATAGAGAGCATTTGTGAGAAAATAAACTTTTTAAGTGGTCAGATGCATAAGAGCAATCAACCACTGAGCCTGTAAACCTACACGCTGTTTAACACCTCAGTGGTTTTAAGTGTTGGCTTGGCTTCTATAGTGCATGCTTCATATATTAACTGTACAGAGTTAAATTATTTTAAGGACTATACAGTTATATATCGATTGCACCATATAATTTTACTGTAATATGCGAAATGTGCATTCCAGAGATGCTGATGGAGCACACAAGTACAATTTATGTATACTCACTGAGGGAAGCAATGAGCAATTAATTTCCATAAAGACATAATATATTGGCTCTTGGGTGCATAGCACATTGCTAATAAAATAGAACTTTTGTACTGACTGCAGTTTCACTGTT